AAAGTGAGGTCTGCTCAGCTAATGGAATAGAATTAGGGGAACGTATGGGAGGTTTGATAAGAGAAGAGAAATGGTTTAATGCAGCCTGTGTCCAGAGTGAGATATATAATCAATTAGGGAGGGGCAAAAGGATGTTTTTCTGCAGCCAGGTCTCAGTTGAAGTTGGGGGGGAGGCACTCAATTTAGTTGTTGACTTCTTCCAGTTCCATTCGGCTGCATGTGAGTGGAATAAGAAGAGTCAGATGGTGATTAAGACAACATGTTTTATTAATGTATCCTGAGAGTGTTAGATGTTTCAACAACTAAAATCTGTTTACCTATAATAAACTTACAGTCAACTAAAATCCCCCAGCCCTTCCAAGGGCTCCAACAAGTTTCAGGGATATCTACTTGCTTCCTGCATTAGGCACTCTAATTCTTCTTGACCTAAAAATTCTATTTCTATTTGTGTGCCTTTTTATTTATGGTGGGCTTTGTCTCACAATTAGCTTGCTTAGTTGCTTTTGGTCGATAATTAATAATTTCTGCCAAAGCCCTAATACAAACCTCCAGAAAACAATTACTTGTCTAGGGAAGATCTTAAATAGCAATCTACTTCCAGCCACTTCTCACCTCATTCTACCCATACTCATTTCATCTTTAACACAGGGCCTGGCCTAGAGTTGGTACTTAACAAATGTTTATTGATTGATTGAATATTAGTAATAGAATTTATATAGTCCTTAAGGTTTGCAAAGCACTGTACCAACAGCACTTCATTTTATCCTCACAACAACGCTTTGAGGTATATTATTATCCTCATTCTACAGATGAGGGAACTGAGGCAGATAGAGGTTAAGTGACTTTCTTACAGTCACACAGCTAGTGTCTGAGGCCAGATTTGAACTCATATATTCCTCCTTTATCCACTGCACCACCCAACTGCCTATTAAGTTTATAGATACCTCTTGTCCTGCCACTATTTGGTTTCAATATCTTATACCCCCAATAGCACTTGAAGGAGGCTTTATTACAGGGGACTCTACCAATGATATGCCAAATACCACATTTTTTTTTTTAGGCAATTGGGGTTAAGTGATTTGCCCAGGGTCACACAGCTAGTAAGTGTCTAATGCCTGGTTTGAGATCATATTTGAACTCAGGTCCTCCTGACTTCAGGGCCAGTGCTCTATCCACTGCGCCCCCTAGCTGCCCCCTAATACCACATTTTCCATGCCCCACATGGGGTTGGGGAACTCAACAGTCTACTTTTCCCTGTCTGATTCTTATGATTTTAAGGTACCTTGACTATTTTCTTTTCTTCCATTGACTACTATGCATAAATTCATTAGGTCATTGTGGCCGTTCAGACATCACACCTCCCCCAAATCCTGCTTTGTTGTTTCATTGAGGTACGGAGGTGATCTTGGTTCTTGAAGGGAATGTCAGTGCAATTCAAGCTCATACAGTAGGTTCTATCAAGTTTCAAAGGTCCTAAATATAGTCTGTGACAGATTTTATACCCTGTCCAAGTATGGAAAGTTTTATTACCTAAAGACTAATCCTACATGAGGGCAGCTAGGTGGTGCAGCAGAAAGAGTGCTGGGCCTAGAGTCAGGAAGACCTGAATTCAAATGTGACCTCACATACTAGTTCTGTGACTTGGGGCAAGTCACTTCACCCTATTTGCCTCAGTTTCCTCATCTGTAAAATGAGCTGGAGAAGGAAATGGCAAACTACTCCAATATCTTTTCCCAAAAAAACCCAAAAGGGGTCACAAAGAGTTGGACAGGACTGAAAACAAGAAAGCAACAAAAAACCCTAAGTGATGTATTTTTTCACTGTCCCTCTCATCCTCAGGTGCTTCCCTCAAACTTCTCCCTCATACTTGCAGACTACATCCTTATGCTACCATCACACAGAAGCTTTGTTTATCAGATTGACCACATCTGGGTCCTTTTTACAGTTATCTACCAGCCTTTGGGCCACTTTTTCTCCTTTTTCAAGTTTAGTACCTGGCTCAGTCTTTCTCTTCCAACTCTCATACCCAGAGGACATCATTCTACATTTCTCAATGTCAAACATTTTGGCCACCTGGCTCATCAATCTCCTTACACTAACCATCTTCTAAACTTCCTTAACCTGTTAAGGGCATTTCCATTCTCCCCATAGGCCAATCCTAGAACTCATCTTGGAAGTTCTTGCCTTGGACCCCAACACCTCACATCCATTCACTTGCCAAACTCTGTTCATCCTCTACAACAACTCTTACATCTGTTTCCTTGTGTCTCCACTCACATAGCTATTGCCCTATCAGGTCTTCATCCCTGCTTGCCTGGACCAGTTATACAATAATATAGCTAGCATCTGTTAGCAGTAATAGCTAGCATTTGTATTATAAAGTGCTATGACCTTAAGGTTTGCAAAGCGTTTTACACACCTTATCTCATTTGATCTTGCCTCCTGTCTTCTTCCCAATCCAATTTCCTTCATATACAAAAATAATCTTCCCTGTTGGCCTGCTACTTTATCTCTCCTTTTCTCAAAAATCTTGTTCTTCCTAAGGTGTCTAAGATAATAATAACAATGGCTAGCATTTATACTGTGTTTTAAGGTTAAAAAGAATGTTCTATGGATTATCTCATTTGATCTAAGATAAAACCTCTATGGGATCTGACTCCAACCTGCCTTTCCAGCCTGATTTCATGTTCTTTCTTCTTCATACAGTGCATATTTTCTAGCTAACCTGGACTACAGTTTATTTGATTAAAATTGCCTTGTCATCTCCTGTATCTACAGCCTTGCACAAGTTATTCCTGGGACACACTCCCTCTCCTTATCTCTTTCAGAGACTTTCAGAATTTAAATTCTCTCAGGGCTCAGCTCAGGTCTTCAGGTCACAGCTTTTCCAGGTTAATCAATCAATGACATTTATTAAGCAGCTACTATGTGCCAGGAACTAGGCTAAACACCTGGTAAACATTATCTCATTTAATCCCCACAACAATCTTGGTGCTATTATTCTGATCTTACAGTCAAGGAAACCAAGGCAAACAGAGGTCAAGTGATTTGCCCAGCTAGTACATGTCTGAGGCTTGTTTTGAACTTAAGGTTTAGAAATCCATTAATATACATCATCACACATGATTCTCACAACAACAATGTGATGAGTGGACTTGTGGGTATCGTCTCATTTATAGTTCAGGAAACAGAGAGAGGTTAAATGACTTGCCTGGGTTATAAACCTAGCTAGTACAGAGTTGGAATTCAAACCAGGTCTCTGATGGCAGTATGGACAGAGTGCCAGGTCTGGAGTCAGGACCTGAGTTCAAATGTAGCCTCAGCTGGGTGACCCTGGGCAAGTCACTTAACCCTGTTTGCCTCAGTTTCCTCACCTGCAAAATGAGCTAGAGAAGGAAATGGCATACCATTTTAGTTGCTCTGCCAAGAAAACGGTTACAAAGAGTCAGGACATAACTGAACAACACCACCAATTTGCTTGACTGGAAGCTTGAATTTTTCAGTGGTACACAGGGTTGATTGAAAGCAAAAAAATTTTTTTTGTCTTTTTGCCCTGCACATGGTAGATGCTTAAAAAATAAAGGATTTAATTTTCTTCTTTTGGGCCTTATACTCTACCTGTTAAATGAGTGAATAAGTTGAATTCTAAAGCCCTTTTCAACTCTACAATCTGTAATTTCAGGTCACAGAATCCATTAAGGATTCGATTGTAAGCTTCTCAAGGGCTGGCCTTTTGCCTTTTTTGTATTCCCCAGCTTAGCACAGAGTTGGCACCTAATTTTTATCGATCGACTGAAATGCTGAGCCTCATACAGCCGACGAAATACAACTGAAAAACTCATTTATCTCCTGAACATCACGACACTGCCAATGGAGCTTCTTTTTGCACAGAGCAGGAAACACCTCCGAGGCCATCAGCAGAAACCTCGTCTAGACTTGGAAGGTGCAGCAGCAAGGGCTCGATTCTAGCTCAGCCACTCTATTTGTGAGGTCCTGGCCTGTTTTTGTCGGTCAATAAGCACTTACCAAACACCTAGCAAGCGCACTGGGCTTAAACTTGGGGACAAAATGACGCAGCCAGCTCCCAGTGAACTCGCAGGCTAAGAGGCGTGGCCTGTTTGAGCTCTAAGGTCATTTTCCAAGCAGTAAATTTATGACCAGGATCTAGGAGTTTATTATCTCCTAAAAGGAAACTAGCTCATTGTTGGGACGCTTTAACTTGGGGGCAAGTATTTCCCCTTCGCTAAGTGACGTTTCTCTCCTCGCCCCGTCAGAAAACTTACTTTTGCCACAAAGAGGCGTAACACCACTGAACCCTATCCACACCCTACCCACACCCTACCCACAACTGCGTTCTTAACCCTGCCCACGCGGCTCCTTTATAGCCGAGCGGAGGCCGCGTGCTGACGCATCCCGTTGCGCGCTGACGTCACCACGCACCGACGGCAGCCCCTGCGCACCCTCGCACACTCGCCGGTGGCGGCGTGCTGACGCTTGCGTCAGCAAGGAGCGGGGCTGGGGGCACCCGTTTTGAAGTCGACTGCTGGCCGGCGGCTGCTGCTGTTGCTGTTTCTTTTACTGGTGCTGCTGCTGAACCTCTTCCAACTCCCTTCCTTCCGCGAGGACCGGCTCGGAGAGGCCTCGGGGCAGATGCGTGAGAGGCCGCCCCGGGGTTCACTCGGTGTTTAGGCTCCCGGCCCCGAGGCCTCAGGCCTTGCTCCCCGCCTCGGGGGCCCCGTGCTAGCACCTCAGCCGCCACCCCCTCCCCCCCTGCGCAACGCCCGGGGAGCACCGAACCGCCGCACCCCCTGCGGCGCCGGGCCGGCCGGCTATGGCCGTCTCCAGGTGGGTACCGCGCGCTCGGCGGGAGCTGGGGCACCGTGGGGCCGGGGCAGGGACGCGCCGACCCGCTCCCGTCTTCGGGCCAGGGCGCCGGGGATCGGTCACCGGCGCGCGGGGGAAGGGGTCCCACCGCCGGGGGCAGAGGTATTCTTTGTTACCTGGCGGAGGCCCCGCAGGCGCCACGGCTCTCGCCCCACAGTCTTCAGTGGTTGGACTTCACTTGGCTTGGTTCCGGGAGGTCTTTCCTTGTTGGGGAATCGGTTCCTGAGCATGTCAAGAGCCGCACCAGCCTCTCCTTTCTTTCCTGGTTCCTTTCTCGGTTTTCACTGTCCTCTTGCCAAACTCTAGCGCTAACTTTTTTTTTTTTCCTCTTAAGCGTCTGGATATTAAAGTACATCCACCTATTCCCAATTCCTGCTACGTCAGACGATTTGGATGTATACAATGGAAGTATGGAAGAGCTCATTCATTCATGATGAGTTAATACTACCCAGTCTGCCACTGCTTTATGGATAACCTCTTCCTTGAGAGAGTTTTCTTTTCTTTTCTTTTCCTGTTTTACTCCTTTCGTTATTGTTAACTAAGTTTCATCTTCTTTTCTTTAATGGAAGGAAAGAGGCAATCCTTACACAAACAGTCATCCTATCCCAAACTCCAATGCACTTTCCTTTGTTAGGACATAAAGCCGACATCATCTAACTTAAATGTTTCAGAAATACTTCCAGTTCAAAACAAGCAGTAAAAGGGATAGTAATAAAGCAATTACAGAAATAAAAGGCAGGGATTTATCCCCTCCTTTTATCCCTTCAACTATACTTTCCTTAGTTTTTCCCTTAGATGAGCCACTCCCCCTTCTCTAAACAGCTGTGGCTGGTAACTTGCGTTTTGATCTTGGTGCCATACATATCCATGGATGTGGATTGATGCCCTATGAGATGATGGAGTCAGAGTCCAACTAGCTACTCAGGCAGGTTTCAAAGAAACCTGTTGGAAAGTTGGAAGTGATGTATTCACCAGAAGCCCCTGACTACTCAGAAAACAAAAATGTCTTGCTTTGATTTCCTTAAAATTAAGTCATATATTTATTGAGTGGCCATTATGGACAATTAATAGAGTGAGTCTGTTGTGCAAGAACAGATGGCTTCATCTCTGGTATGTTTCACAGAAGTCTTTGGATACTGATGGAGTGGTGAGGGTATGGATGAGGTAGCAGTGAAGGTGCCCAATACTGACAGTAGTGAAGAAGATGTTGCTAGGTACTTGTAGAACAGTCAGTTCAGTGTACAAGTAGGCACTTAAATGTTTTCAGCGTAGTAACTAATCTTAATAAAATTTGTCTTATTTTTGTTCAATAGTTGTCCATAAGAATGTTCTCTGGTTAAAAGTAGCATTTTCATCAAAACAGTCCAAGTTTAATAATTATTGAGGCATTTTAATAGCAGTACTTTCATATTTTCAAAGTTGCAGAGGAAAAATTTTAATAAGCTTCTAGAACTTAGTTTAAATATTTTCTGCTTAAAAATACTTAAATACTTTGACCCAACTCTTCCTACCTCATTTCCTTGAATTTGTCACTTACTACATGACATTGAAATATAAATTTAATCTCACATCTGTTTGGTAAGATCCAGAGTGTTTAAGGGGAAAAGTTCTTGAGTTGAATTAATTCCTTGGCACAAACTGGGAAAATTTTCATACTATGAAATGATGTTTCTTTGGAGCAAGGTGGGTTATGGTATTGAAGAGTCCTTGTTTTACCTTAGAAGATTTGAATGTGCTTTGTTCAGTCAGTTAGCCTAGCACCTACTATGTGCCAGACTGTAAAAGCTCTGAGGATATAAATAAAAAGTGAGGTAATCCCTGCCTGAAAGTATACAAATATGCAAATACAAGATATTTTAAAAATTAATTAAAAAAATTTTCCCAGAGGGGCATTAACAATTGAGGGAGGGAATAGGGAGACAGAAGATGACACTGGGAGTGAATCTTGAGGGGAGCTGTAGATTATAAGAGATGGAGGTGAGGAGAAAGAGCCTTCCAGGTAAGGAGACAGCCTATGGAAAGATATGTTGGGTCACTTTGGGTACTAGGAACAATCCCATAGCTGAGTTTGGCAGGAATGTAGAGTATGGAGGGGATGTAGCATCAGTCTGAAAAGGTAGACCTACGGCAAATTAAGCACTGCCAAATAAAGGAATTGACATTTTATCCTTAGAGATACTGGGGAGCCACTGAAGCTTCTTGAATAGGACAGACCGTCCCTCTACATATGCCTTTATCTGAACCCCTCCCATCTTCTCTAGTAGATTTCTCCCTTAGACATTCCCTTTCTCATCTTCAGCCTCCATCTCTTGGTTCCTTCTTTGCTCCTTTCAAACATGACTGCCATCTCCTTTGGCTGTCATCCTATCTCTCTTCCCTTTTTCATCCAAACTCCAGGAAAAATGAACAATAAACTATCTATACTTAATACCTCCACTTATTCTCCCTTCTCTTCTTCACATACTCTCTCACTTCTTTAACTAACATCATCACTCAGCTGAAACTGCTTTCTCCAGATTTATGAATGATCTCTTAATTGCCAAGTCTGATCATTTTTTCTCAGTCTTTAGCCTTCTTGAACTCTGCAGCATTTGACACTCTTAACTGTGCTTTTCTCCTGGATACTCTCTCTTTATGGGTTTTCCTGAAACTGCTCTTTCTGGTTCATAAGGCATACCTGCCTAACCATTCCTTCTCAGTTTTCGTTACTGGATATTCATTGGTAGCATGCCTGCTAGCTATGGAGGTACCCCTGTGGCTCTGTCCTGGCAGTTTCTATACTGTTTCATTTGGTGATTTCATTTGTTCACCTGGGTTTAATTATTATCTATGTGAGTGATAAAGGTATTATATATAAGGCACCTGAGTGGCACAGAGGTTAGAATGTAGAACCTAGAATACAGAAGACCTGAACTTCAGTTTGGCCTCATATACTTAACCAGCTATGTGACCTTGGGCAACCCATATAATCTCTGTCTCAGTTTCCTTTTTTGTAAAATGAAGATAATAATAGCACCCACCTCCTAGGGTTGTAAGGATAAAATGAGATAAATACTTGCAAAGTGTTTTGCAAATCTTAAGGCACAATATAAATGATTATGATGATGATGATTTACATCCAACTCTATTCTCCCTTCTGAACTCTAGTCCTGCATAACCAAACACCTACTAGACATTTTAAACTAGATTTCCTGTAGACATCTTGAACTCAGATTCCAAAACAGAACTCCTTTCTGTTTCTTCCTAATCCCACCTGTCTGCTGAACTTCCCTGTTTCGCTTCTATTTACTTATTCATTCATTTATTTATTTGATTTTTTGGCAGTTGGGGTTAAGTGACTTGCCCAGGGTCACACAGCTAGTGTCAAGTGTTTAGTCTGAGCCCACATTTGAACCCAGGTCCTCCTGACTTTAGGGCCAGTGCTCTAGCCACTGTGCCACCTAGCTGCCCCATTTCCCTGTTTTCTTTTACAGGCACTAAGGTTCTTCCAGGGACATAATCTCAGAGTTATCCTTAACTCTTCATTCTCTTTCACCCCACCTATTTAAGCATTACCAAGCATTTGTTTTCTATACTACAACATCTCTGTCATCTTTTCACTTCTCACCACTCAGACACTCATCACCTCTCAGCTGGACTGTTCTTTGACCTGGACTGTTGAAGTGACCTTCTAATTGATCTCCCTGCCTCAAGTCTCTTTCCACTCCAGGCCATTGTCCACCCAGCTGTCAGAGGGATTTTTCTTAAGTGTACGTGTAATCATGTGATTCCTCTTCAGTAAAACTCCAGTGGTTCTGTGTTGCCTTCAGGATCAAATATAAAGTCCTATGTTTAGCTTTTGATGCCCTTCGACATAACCTCAAATCTGCTTTTCCAGCCTCATTACATATTACTCCTTTTCACATATGCCATGGTTAACCTAAATGAACCTTCTTGTCATTCCTCGAACACAGCATCCCATCTCTGTGCTTTTGTTCTCTTTGTTTTCCATGCCTGATCAATTCAGGTCAAGTGAGATAATACTTGTTTAAAAAAAAAATAGTGCCTGGCACATAGTAGGCATTATATAAATGGTTAATCCCTTTTCCCTTTCTGTGTGCTTCATCTCCTTCCCTTTCCTCCCCTGGAATATACTCATGACTCATTTATAGAATTCCTCACTTCCTAAATGATGCAATTCAAGCACCACCTTTTACACAAAGCCTTCCTAGATCCACTCAATAGCCTACTCTTCCTCCTTATCTTACATTTATTTCATATGTATTTATTCTCTGTAGATCTAAATAGGTGTATTATGTTTGCTTCCTTCATTTTCCATCTCCTCGCCTCCCCCCATGAAGTAGGGTGCATGAGAAATGCTTTAAAAAAAATTTTTTTAATGCTTCTTGATTGTTGTACGCTTTAGGATTATCAATTTGGCAGCTTTGAAGAGAATGAATTGGAAAGGGCAGAGGTCTTTGTTCAGAACAACTGTTTCCTGAATGAATGCCTAGAAGTTTTGAGAGATTGTTCCTCCCTACTTCATACATCTCTCTAGGCCTTTTTTTTAAGTTGACTACCTTTAGGCCATCAAAATCTCAATAAGATCTTCTAAAAATGCTTTTTTAAGACTGTTATTCCACTTTCATGAAAGATCTAGTCATTTCTTTCGGTTCTAGTTGAATACTATTCTAATGTCAACTGTTATGTCAATTCTTAGAGTTATCCATGTGATGGAAGGAAAAAAACTGGGTGTGGTGACGAGTCTCCAATCTTTATGCAGAGAAGGCTGAGGCCTAGGCTGGTAGATTGCTGGAGTCCAGGAGTTTTAAACTGCAGTAGGATTAAAGCTCAGCAGGTGTCCTCACTAAGTTTGGTGAGCCGTTGGAGTGGAAGAGGTGGGGGAAATGGTACACCTTCAGGCTGCCTAAGCAGGGGCAAGCTGTCCCAGGTTGGAAGTAAGCAGGTCCAAACTTCTGAGAATTTTGTCTGAGTGGCTACTGTACTTATAGCCTATGTGAGTTAGGCAGACTCAGTTGATCTCCCTCCCTTTTCTCCCCACCCCCAAATAAAAAAGGTTATCCATGTGTGGATGCACTTTGTGAATTATCTGTTGCAAAATTTTAATCCCTGACCTTTTCTCTACTACTCAGCGTGTTTTCTAAGCTGCCTTCCTTCGTTGTTGAGTTGGTATATGCTTAGGGAATAAAAGCTAATTTTAATATTAGCTTAAACAAACTGTGAGGAAGGTAATACTGTTTATGAAAAACACAATGTAATATCACCAAGGTCAAATATAAATGATTCTTGTACCAGTATGCCTAGCCTAATTGAGAGGAAACTGCATAGCATTTTTTTTCTTAATTAAAGATATCTAGAAGTCTTTTTTATTATATAGTATCTATATTATCAAGGAAAGAAAATACTAAATTGTTAGTGCTTTTTCAAGGAGTCTTCTTCCTCTAATGACTTTGATAATTTTACTATAATTTAGGCACTGAATTTTTTCCTAGTGTTTTTCAGTAAATTTTTCTGAGTGTGATTCCTTGGAAACAAAAATTTTCACATAATAAGAACCAAGTACATTTTGTCATTTTTGCTAAACATTTTGAAATATTTTAAAGTATCAGCAATGCATTGAGCGGTTATGAGCTATATGCAGT